AGAGAGAGAGAGAGAGAAAGAGAGAGAGAGAGAGAAAGACAGAGAGAAAGACACAGAGAGAGAAAGACAGAGAGAGAGAGAAAGAAAGAGAGAGAGAGAGAAAGAGAGAGAGAGGGAGAGAGACGCGCGTCCGCGAAGCCGAGGCTCGCTTTGTTTCGGTGCCGGGACGAGGATGGCTGGCGGGCTCCAGGTTGGCGGGCGCGAGAGGGCGGGCGGCGGCTCCGAGGCGCGCGTCTGCTCCGCGCGGCTTCCGAGGCCCCGGCGGTGCCGCCGCCGCTTGGCTCTCGGCCAGGCCTCGGTCCTGCGAACCGGAGGAGCCGCTTCTGCCCGGCGTGCGGCTCTGAGCCTCTTTCCCCCCCCCCCCGCCTCCTCCTGCCCGGGCAATTGTGCGGAGCTGCTGGTGCGTCCTTGGCAGCGCCTGCGGGAAAGGCCGGGCGCCAAGGCCGAAACGCCGCGCTTTTCTACCGCTTCTCCTCCCGTTGGTCAGAGAGGCAGACGCGATTTCCCTTCCCTGCTTCCTGTCATCTGCGCTGGAAAAGAAGGACAATTTGGGCTGTTTTATTACCGGTACCTGTTGCTTGTTTTATGACTCGTTGCTCTTGCTGAAGCAGGGAAAAATTGCTTAAAGTGATTTTCAGGAGCTGCAGAATGCCTCCAAGTAAAGCCGCAGCAATTGTGTGTGTGTGTGTGTGTGTGTGTGTGTCTGTCTCTCCAGACCTTACTGGACTACCATCCCCAGCAGCCCTACAAAGCACTGTGGAAGAGTGGGGAATGCTGGGAGTTGCAGTTCATTACCATCTGCAAAAAACATGACTCTCCAAAGATCCATCCATCCTTCCTTCCTTCCTTCCCTTCCCTTCCCTTCCCTTCCCCTTCAATCCTTCCTTCCTTCCTTCCTTCCATCTCCTTCCCTTCCCCTTCAATCCCTCCCTCCTTCCTTCCTTCCTTCCTTCCTTCCTTCCTTCCTTCCCTCTTCAATCTCCTTCCTTCTCCATCTCCTTCTTTTCCCCTTCAATCTTCCTTCCTTCCCCTTCTCTCCCAACATTTTTGAGCTAAGAAGAGTAAGCTTCTCCAGCGAGCATTGCTATGGCTGAAAATATGATTGGAATCTGAATATATGGGGTTGGGAAGATCTGCAATAATCAAATATTTTTTTAAAAAAAAAAACCCCATAGATTTGGAGAGGTGCAAACAGCTGGGACTGTCCCAGCAGGGGTGGAGCCTTTAGGGTAAGGGTGGAGCCTAGCAATACCTGCTGTGGTTGGAGCATGCTCAGATAGACGCTAGTTGATAGGCGCTAGGGCACTAGGGCTCAATGGAAGGCAAGCAGAAGGACCAGCTGTCTTTCAGAATTGATCTTTGGGACATAACCAAATCCGGTGGGATCTGTTCATACTTGATTTCAGCCATTGTTGAAGGCAGGTAGTCCTCGAGTTACAGCCATTCATTGAGTAACTGGTTCATATTTATGACAGTCGCAGCGTCCCGGGGTCACGTGATCCCCTTTTGCGACCTTCTGACAAGCAAAGTCAAGGGGGAAGCCGGCTTCACTTAACAACTGTGTTACTAACTTAACAACTGCAGGGATTCACAACTACCTTGCTTATCAGCAGAAATTGACACAAGGGTAGTTTTCCCCCCATGCCATCACTCTGCTAAACAACTAATTCCCACAACATCTTCAAACTCCCTAGTAAGGCTGTATTACTGTTACTCTCCTCATCTTCCCTATTGTCGATCTCCTTATCTTCTTAGGACTATAACTTGGTTGTTCGTATCTTAATGATTTATATTGTTTTATTTAGTATCCTAGTATGATTTATGTTGTTTGCTTGTTTAGTATCCTCTGGCTATCACGGAGTATTGTACCTTATGATTTATGATGATTGTATTTTATGATTATGATCATGCTTTATCACCTGTTGCTTGTATGTACACTGGGACCTTCTACACTGGAGAAAAATTTCTTGTGTGTCCAACCACACTTGGCCAATAAAGAATTCTATTCTATTCTATTCTATTCTATTCTATTCTATTCTATTCTATTCTATTCTATTCTATTCTAATATCCATTCTATTCTATTCTATTCTATTCTATTCTATTCTATTCTATTCTCTATTCTCTATTCTCTATTCTATTCTATTCTATTCTTTTCTAATATCTATTCTATTTTATTCTGTTCTATATTCTCTATTCTATTCTATTCTGTTCTGTTCTGTTCTGTTCTGTTCTGTTCTGTTCTATTCTAATATCCATTCTATTCTATTCTATTCTATTCTATATTCTATTCTATTCTATATTCTATTCTATTCTAACTTGTGTGCTCAATTGTGGTCGTAAGTCGAGCACTCCCTGTAAGCTTCTGTTGGCTGTGTTTACAATGCATGCAAAGCTGTGATGGAGTCTTTTGATTTGGCTTTGGGGATTGTGTGACATCTGCTTTCAAGGAAGAGGATGATGACCTTGCAGGATTAATATTAACATGACATCTGCCCCCAGTTGTTATAGCGTACGGGTAGTCAACTTTTGCTCATGTATTTAATAACTGTTTGAAGTTACGAGGATGCTGAAAAATCTGACAACTGGTCCTCACACTTCTTTTTTTTTTTAAACAAGTTTTATTAATTTTTCAAATTTTTACATTTGAGTGCTTAGGAAGCGGCGTGATGATAGGATAATCAATAGTCCAATAACAAAATCATTCATGTGTATCTCAGGTTACATCAATAAAGATTCCCTCTCTAGCTCCCTTAAATATTAATACATTTCTAACTAAAGCTCAATCAATCAATACATTTATCAATGGCATTTTACTTATACATATCCAAATCCTGTTTTTAAGTTTTACTTAATTCTAATTGCCATGTTCCAATTTTGCCTTTTATAACCAATATTTAAGTTTCGGATAACCTTAATTTCCCTCATTTCATTATAAAATAGTTAACATAACTAGAATTTCCAAAATTTACCTTCTTCGTTTGTTCACAAATATACTCCACAAATGTATTTCCATCTGACAATCAAAAATATAATCTAACAATTAATTTTAATTTCCCTTATAAATCCTGGATATTAAACCAATCACTGCAAAAACACTTCTGACCATCGCAGTCTCCCTGTGGTCATGGGATTGCAATTTAGGTACTTGGCAACCAGTATATATTTATGACAGTTGTAGCATGCCGGGATTATGCAATCACCATCTGCAACCAGCTTTCTAACCAGCTTCGGACAAGCCAAGTCAATGGAGAAAGCTGGATTTGTTTAACAACCATGACCAAATGTTGTAAAACAGGCACGAGTTACTTAACTGTATTGCTTAGTAACGGAAGTTCCGGTCCCAATTTCATTGTAAGATAAGGACCTTTTGTAGTTCCTTAATCTCCTAATTTAGTCACCTTATGAAAGAAGGCAAAGATTCTTCATATGTCTATGGAGATTCTCAGTCATCCAGGTCATAGTTATCCCAAAGATACTTTTTCACGAGGCAGCTGGACTTTCTTCTTCTTCTTCTTTTTTTTAAAGACATTTTGCTTCTCATCCCAGAAGATGAAGAAGCAAAACGTCTTCAAAGAAAAACAAGAAAGTCCAGTTGCCTCCTGAAAAAGCATCCTTGGGATTCTTCATATGGTTCACTTAATCTCCATCTGGTTGTGTGGCTGCTTCTCCACCTGCTTCAGTGTTTGAAGCCCAACTCCCACACCCTTCCTTGGCATGGTTTGAACTTAACTCAATCTCAGACTTGTGGATTTCAATTCCCAGAATTCCCCAGCCAGCTATGGGGAATTCTGGGAGTCCACAGGCCTCAAAGTCGCTGAAATTGTTTCTCTGTGACTTAAACCAACACAAACATTCCCAAGCGAGCAAACACACAAGATGTGACACACCCAAATCCGCTTTTTTTGTTGCTCCAGCTCAAGACCTAAACAAGGCCAAGTCCTGGTTAGTCCTCAAAGAGGAGTCAGCAGGAAGTGCAATGACAATAGGCTAAACCGGGAATCGAAAGAAGCTGTTTCATCCAGGA